TTAAGTCGGAGGGAAGATTTAAATAGTTTCAGTCCAACTAGAGCACATGTTAAGGAATGCTGCATGTAAGCTGCAGTTTCTGGGTCTAAGGCATTTAAAAGCTGTGGTTCTGACTGACAAACAGCCTAGACTTTGTCCTCATAAGCTGTGCACTTCTATCAGCTTTGAGCATTGAATCCTGTCAGTTCCAGCTGCATCAAAGGATTCTTAAGCAAAGCAGCACTTTTCAATTTTTTTTAATTATTTCTTGAGGGAAACTTTGGAGTTTTCTGGTTTCAGGACTGGCCAGGAATGCAGCAAACTTAGCTACTTTGGAACTTTTTACATGAATTAAGCTATCCTATGCTGAGTTTCCACCCTCAAGTCCATTGTAATTTTAAACCTCCTCTGCTGAACAGATTGTTAGGAAGACACTGTTATTGTAACTGTTATTGTAACTATTCTATTCTTAGCCTGTGCTCTTTTATTTTTTTTTCCTATAGGTATAATCAGGAGCTAAAAGCAAAACAACAAGAGCAGCTGCAGTAAAGAGATGCTTAACCCAACAGGTCAAATCTAACAACGCACAAACCCATCCCCATGGGACCCAGCTTCACTAATTTTAATGTGCTTTTCCTCAGAGAAAAATCAAAGAGGAAATTTAAATGCCTAGAGAGCAAATGTTTTCTAAGTGCAAATAACAAAAGTATCACCACACATTTAAATAAAGGGCGACCTTTTAAATCAAAGCAAAACCGTGTGTTTGTATTGTCTCTTTAAAGAGACACTGACTGTGGACTCTGCCTGGAATGAGTTGCTGGGTCTCACCTTATCTGACTCCAGGAGTGACAGCCAGAGCCTCAGACTGAAGTGATCTTTCCTGTCACACTCAGACCTGGGCAGGGGTTTACCACACTTTCAGAAACCAACAGTAGCATTTGTATTTCGTCCCCTGTGATGCTCTTCCCTGGTAGCTAAGGGCATTCTTTTCAGCTTCAGTTATGTGTATCTTCATTTGTTTCTCAGCCACCACTGTCTCTAACAAAAGGAGAACAAACTAGTATGTGCCACTGGTGTTTTAGCTTCTGTCATCCTTTATAACTCGAGGCAGAAGAGCATTGCATTGAAGTACCAGAGCTCAGGAATTTATATCCAGGGGAGAAGATGACAGGGACCAGGTAGCTTCTTCAGGATTGAGCTTTCATGAAAATAAATGCCTTGAAACGCTGGAGTTTTGCAAGGTCCTATTTTATGTCTCTCTCCACCCCTACTCTCCCCTAGCCTCATGTGAGTTACCACTCCAGCATGGCAGGGGTGGAAAGGAACTGCACCTTGCTGTGGCACCGATGGTCCCCTCCTTTTCCACTCTTTGTACAATGTTATGTTATCCTGTGCAAAGCATCTGTGCAGGACACTCCAAGGAAAGCATTTTCCATTCTTACAAGGCATGCACCTGATACTCTGTCAGCTCCCCTTCTTCAAAGGCTGTCCCACAGTGAAGCCAGTAGTGTTCTGCTACAATTCCACTTGCATTCCTTGGCTCTTCCAGCTGGAGCAGTAACACAGGGTGTGAATTCCAAGGGTGAGCTCTCCAGCTGTGTTGTTGCTGAGTGGACACAGACTGCAGTGACTGAAGAACATTGCCAGAGACAGAGGTGTTGTATCTCAGTCCCCCTCCCTTCCCAATCCTCACCCAGGTAAAATTCATCCAGCAAACCAGTAATGGGAAAAAAAAAAGTGTATTAAAATATTCACAAGATTACAATACAAAACATGGAAGTCCATTCAAGAAAAAATATCCAAGATAACTGTTTCCAGATGAGTCTGTAAAAGCAAAAGCACTAACAGTTGGTACACTGGCTCTTCAAGTAATCAGGCCATGCAATGCATATCTAGCTCCCTCACACAGATTATACACCTGTCTTACAGGTGTTTGTTTTCTTGCACACCTCCAGGACAGAGGTTCACAAAAGACAAGTACCCGTGTACTCTGTTTTCAATCACATTTACCACGTAAGAACAGCTGGCATTGCAGGGAGACAGAAGACATTGCACAGCACACTGATCTCCAAAGGCATGGAACTTAGATTTTAGAGTGCAAAAATACCTGTAAATGAAAGGGCTTATTAGCTTTAGGGCAGTGAAGAGAAGGGAAAGAGAAGCCTCAAGAAGAGTATAATTGCTGAGCGTAGTTAATATGATTTTGTAGTGTCCCATATAAAAATGTCACCTAAATACTAGAACAGCCCAGAAGTCTTACCCATCTTCTCCACTTTGGTGGTTTTAAAGAGAAAATATTTCCATCACCTATTATACAATAAGAGCATTTGAGGTCCCAGGCAGATACATTAGTAATGCAAAATTCCAAGACAAGATTTCAATACAGATTGAAGGTGTTTTGGTTACAAATCCATCAGTCTGTGCCTGACCTCAGTGAATCCACTCTAAGGCGATGCAGCTCCTAAGTTGCACATATACATTTACTGCAGTTACAGATGGTTACCTAAACAGTTCTCACAGGTTTAAAAAGTTTAAAAACCTAATTACAGCTCTTCTAGTCACAAACTGAAATATCACTAAAGCTTTGAGAGAAAACAAAACCCTGCAGGTCTCTGGTTGTAAATGACACATCAGACAATGAGTTACAGGGACGTACTTGCCACCCTGTTATGGCTCTTAATGCCACCTCGTGAACATGGTGACCATCTTCCCCACAGAACAACTGCTGAAGTCAGAAGGGGCAGTGGAAATCTGATGTACTGAGTACAGCTATCAAATTACTTCCATTGGTACCTTACGATTATTTGTAATCCTTCTCCTGAAACTCATTTATGGTACTCAAAAATAAAGAAGATTTCAGATTGATCCCAGTTTTGTTTGCATGATGAATAAAAGAGAATTCATTGCAAGTCTTTTCCATCACACAGACCTTCCCCAGGTCCACTATCCAGGACCAATGACCCACCTAGTTTTACTCCTCGAGGCTGCTGCCTCAAGAGAGGCACCTACTCCTCTGCTGGGCTGCTGCAAGCTTGGCATGCAGCACTTCTTTTTAAAATAGATGGTCCTAAAAAGAGCTGGCAGCAGTCCTACAGCAGGACAAGGGCAATGCCCTTCATGCTCCTCAAAGTTCAGGCTGTTCTTTTTAACCTGCAAGGAGCAGCAGAGCAAGCAGAGCTAAACTTCTGGCCACCACAACGTCAGGATATGATGACCTTGTTTGACTTTAACCTCTGTTTGCTCTACCCATCAAGGAAGTAGAAGTCCTCTGTCTCCTGTGACTTTACTAAGTGAGCCAACTCACCCTCAGTCCTGTTCACCAGCACAGGTTATCATATCATTAAACGAGATAAGATAACCTGATGGACAGAAAGTTCACAAGTGTTGTCTCACAATGCTTGAAGTCCTTTTGACTTCAATCTGTTACTTAATAGCTACATTGTTCACATTTTCATGACAAAAAAAAAATTGAACAGCCCTACCACTGGAGAGGGATTCAGGCTGATTTCTGCCATTCCTGGGGGAAGAGTACTTTGTTTCTTTCTAAAAAGATGTTCAGCGTTTTTTAAAAATACTTCAAAGCTCATTCTGCCTTCACAAAGAGGACCCAAGCAGCCTTGCAAGGTGCCTCCTCAGTCTAGGCAATATCTATGTACCCGTAGCCAGACAAAAGCCATGCAAGGAGGTGTCTCCTTACATCAGTCAGCATTAGCCAGATCAGTGTTTCTCCTAAAGTCAGCACCAGATCAGCACGTCTCCCAAAGTTAGCACCAGATTAGTGTGATTCCTAAAGTTAGCACCACATCAGAATTGTGCTCAGATTCTCCAGTATATTCCAGCAGGAAAAGAAACAAACATTAGTAGCAGAATTCAGAGGCAAGGCCAGCCCCATCTTCTCATAGCAGCAAGTTTTTGATCACTACATTCATCGCAATTCTCCCTCTTACTCGAAAATACTTTCTTGGGGAGAAAGATGGTGATGTACAGACATGAATGCAGGTAGATCAAAATCAAGGTTCTCCATCAACCACATCAAAAGCATTAGTTTATATTAACTGTAAAACAAATGTTGGGAAGTAATAGCCTGGTAGTTAAGGAAAGCAGCAGCAGCAGGATTCATTCTGCTCCTAATCACAGAACCACAGAATATGCTGAGTTGGAAGGGACCCACCAGGACCATCAAGTCCAATTCCTAGTCCTGCACAGGACCATCCCCAAGAGTCAGGTGCCTGATAGTGTTGTCCAAAACTTCTTGAACTCTATCAGGCTTGGTGCTGTGACCACTTCTCTGGGGAGCCTCTTCCAGTGTACCCAACCTCCCGCTGGGCAAAGAACCTTTTTCTAACATCCAACCTAAATCTCCCCCAGCTCAGCTTCACACCCTTTCCTCGAGTCCTGTTACTGGTCACAAGATGAAGAGATCAGCTCCTGCCTCTCCTCTTCCCCTCCCGAGGAAGTTGTAACTGCAGTGAGGTCTCCCCTCAGCCTCCTCTTCTCCAGGATGATCACGCCAAGTGCCCTCAGCTGCTCCTCACACGGCTTCTCCTCCAGACCCTTCCCCATCCTTGTTGCCCTCCTCTGGATGCTCTCTAATGGCTTAATATCTTTCTTATACTGTGACACCCCAAACTGCCGCAATATTGCAGGTGAGGTTGCCCCAGCTCAGAGCAGAGTGGGACGATCCCCTCCCTGGCCCGGCCAGCGATGCTTTGCCTGATGCCCCCCCAGGATAGGGTTGGCCCTCCTGGTTGCCAGGGCACTGCTGACTCAGGGCCAACTGGCCACCCACCAGGACCCCCAGGGCCCTTTCCGTGGCACTCCTTTCCAGCATCTCATTCCCCAGTCTGTCCGTGCATCCAGGGCAGCCCCATCCCAGGTGCAGAATCCAGCACCTGAGGAGATCATACAGAAGCACAGAATGGTTTGGGTTGGAAGGGACCTTAAGGACCATCTTGTTCCAACACCCCTGCCATGGGCAGGGACACCTTCCACTAGACCAGGTTGCTCAGAGCTGCATCCAACCTGGCCCTGAACACTTCCAGGGACGGGACAGCCACAACTTCTCTGGGCAGCCTGTGCCAGGGCGTCTCCACCTTCTGAGTAAAGAATTTGCTGGCTACAGTCACCAATGTGAGTACTGCAGCAACCAAGAACAGTGCTTTGGCACACAACAGATACTGGACGGTATCAACAGATGGAAGCTTGAGTTGGCAAACTGCCCCTGAGTGCATCTGGGACAAGTAGGTCCCACTCCATCAGCCTCCAGCACTGGGAAGAAGCATCATAGCCCATCATGTGGAGTCTTGCTAAACCCCCTGTTTAATCCTCAAAGTAGAAAATGATATTTAAAGGCCTTCTGTGGAGAAGAAATTTGTTCATTTTTCATCTTGTATGCATTACTGCCAAAAAATAAAATGCTACATACTTTTCAGAGCTGCAATGGTTAGTGAGCCACAGCACAGTGTCTCAGCTCCCAACAGGACTTGGCAAACATCTGAAAACTGATATCTTAAAAACATCTTGAAACACGTCCTTTCTTTGATATCAGCCAAGTCCCGTAACAAGGGTTACACAAATTCAGATATTGCAGGATTAGGAACTGACATCTAGCAGAATAAATTAATCCATGGTTTCCTTTTGAGCCTCAGCTTTAAGAAGCTGGTTCTGGCTTTGAGGACAATGTCTTAAAATCTAGGCAGTGCATGTATACAGAAATAAAGCTGTCAACTTCTAATAAAGGCAGGTGTTGTCAGAAAACCTGTGAAGGCTGATCCTGATGAAGGGATATAGTGTTGGTATGCCCAACTTTGTTGGGGAAAAAAAACCCCACTGTACAAAAAACAGCTATTAAAGTTCCACTGTTATAATCAAAGGATTATCTAATGTGGTTCTGAAAGGGTCTTCCACAGGCCTATAACTATTTCTCATTTACTTGGTGTTATATTAGGCTTGAGCTTGTTTGGAACAGATTGCCCAGAGATGCTGTAGAGTTTCCACCCATGGAGATACTCAGAGCTGGACACAGTGCTGGCCAACCTGCTCTGGCTGACCCTGCTTGAGGAGCAGGGGTTGGACTAGATGATCTCCAGAGGTCCCTTCCAACCTCAACCATTCTGTGACCGATTCCATGCAACAAGACAGAACTAGGAAATGGGTAAGAATCAGAGACAAGGCGTTATGAGAGACCAAACTGAAAATCATTTGCTGCCACAAAAAAAGGCCAAACGACACCACATTAGGATGTACAAAACAGAAATCCTTCTACCATATGTTACTCTGAGAAGATCTCTGCTGGAATGCCACTTCTAGCTCTGAGTACCAGATTTCAGGATACTGTGGATCAGCAGAAGAAAGATCCTCATCAGCAGAGATCCTTAACAATCTAGGAGGAGTTTAACCTAGAAACAAAAAGCTGGGGAACTATACTCAAGCAGTAGACTTGCAGAGATGAAGGAAATAAACTGCCCTTCCGCATCCTCTGTGCAAATATAGGTTACACCAAAAAAAACCACACATCAAAAAAACCCCAAAGAGCCCTAGACATTCTCCAGAGGTCATTCAGCATCCACTACAGGCTTTTAAGAACAGATAAAGCCCCTCTAAGGAGGTGACAGTGGTATAACGGAGCCATGGGAGAAGTAAGGGAGTACTACAGCTTCCAGATCCTTTGGAGCCCTTTTTCACACTTACATGAAATGACACAGCTTTGAGGAAGAAACATTTCACTGAAAGGTTCAACAGAGTCTGAGGTAACCACCTACAGCTACAGCTTCCTATGCCTTTAACTCACTATTTCCTTAGTGTTCACAAAATTCATTCATACCATTCCACAAAATTCATTAGATCAACACTATCCCTGCACCTCAAAGGACTAATCTTGAATAGCTGGGCTCATAGAGAAGTAAACAGTTCTGTGACCTGTGTTACACAGGTCAGGTAGGCCTAAAGATTTCCTTCACTTACACTGCTAAGACATACATTTCTGACAGCTAGGAGTCACAATTTGGCTTACAAGACCAAGTGAGAGGGTCTAGTTTACATGAGAAGGCAGCTTTTACCGAGAATCTGACCAAAGAAAGATAAATACCCTGTATACATAAGGAATTCAGTGGATATAAAGAAGATGTCTTCTTTATATTCATCTCAACAAAAGAAGGCCTTATAAGCAAAAAAAAAAAAAAGAAAAAAAAAAAAAGAGAATCTCCAGGTCAATCTAGAATCTTCAGGCATCTTCCAGTTTCTCCATTAATAATCAAGATAAAAATATTTAAAAATCGTGATGTGAGTTTTCACTTTCTCTCTCGTCACACATGATACAAAAAAGAATATCAGCGATTTATAAGCAAAAATTCTTACCGCATTTCAACATGCAACATTGGTCTCACTTCTGTACGATTAAATAGACTATTTACACACAATACATATATATCTTTCCCTCTGTATGCACATGCATTGGTCCTAGCCTAGGCATCAAAGGCCACATGTGAGTTCTCTGGGTCAAATCTTGTTCAAGCAATTCCAGTCTGAGTGTGTGTTCTCCTTTGGACAGCTTAGGATCTCATCTCAGTTCTTCCGGATGTCGGCGTAGACCACGGACTCTGACTTGTTGATCTTGTCGCTGTGCTGTCCCCCGGAGTGATCTAACTGCGCGTAAATGACTGGGCCCTGGGGACACAACAGAGAGGAGCCATCAGGACTTCTCAGAACAGGCAGCACATCTGCAGCAAGATGAAAGCCAAAGCGAGACCACGGAGCTTTAATGACTGCGAACGGCACTTGGAAGCAGGTGGAATGAACCCTGGCCTACGAATGAGCTCTAGTCTGCCACCTTTCTGCTCTCGGGAGCAATGCCAACAGCGCCCTTTCCTCCCTCTGAGACTTCTTCCTTCCCATAAAAAGCAAAATCTAGAATCCTTTGCTCCGAAATGCAGCAATTCTTACGTGTTATGGAGTAAAGACACGTGGTTTAGTCAGATGCACGCCAGATTTGTTATTGTTCAGGAGGATCTGTACTACAGATTTATCAGTCCACAGCAGAGGGTACTTCTCCTTCTGCCACTCACTTCCTGTAAATTCCAGCACCCCTAGACCACTTGGATAATAAGGGAGGGAACAAACCTGCAGCCCCCCTGTGACATGGGTCACTGCCCAAACAAGTGATGGAATCAAGACTTACACAGCAGTGTAGTACAGAAAGTACTGCAATGGTGCAGCAGTACAGAATCCTTACCTGACTTCTGAACCAGCCCAAGCTCTGCACAGCTCCATAAACACCCTGGGCAGGCACGGCCACACACCTTTGTTACCTCTGCTGGGGTGCAGTGGGGGACATTACCAGCACTGTCCTTCAGCTGAGCAAACGTGCCTGCACCTTCCCAAAACACCACGTCCTCCAAAACAGCCCACAGGAGAGAAAACTGCAGCTATTGGAGACAGGACTGGAGCCTACATAGAACAGGTGCCCAACAAGACAGGTGGGACCTCTATGGCCAGGTCTGACCTGCAGCTCCCACACTGCACCCCTCAGCTGACACAAGCACAGAGCACAAGGCTGGGACCACCTCAGCACACAGAACACCCCTCACACCCCCCTGCAGGAGGGAAAGGGACTGTGTCCTGTTTGGGGGTGAGTGGGGGGAATTACAGAGAGCTTTTAGTTTGGTTGTGGCTTTTTTAGCAGTTTTTCCTTCAAAACGTTTCATCCAATTAACTGTTTCAGTTTCCCTCATGTTCCAGGAAGAAGGAGCCTTCACAGGCACTTCTCCTACTCCATTCTTGCCAATACTTTTGGAATCCTGGCAAATTAGGAAACACTTCTACAGAACTGACCCAGAAATCCTTCCATCTATCTCCCAAACCAATCAGGAGCCAGAGATGAAAAGAGACCTTCTGTACAGAAAATTAAGCCCTTAAAGGACCGTAAAGTACCTTCCTGCACAGCTGTTTTCCCCCCAGCACAGTGGCAAAGCACACACCTGATAAATACCTTGTTCTCTTTCAGAAGTAATTTAAATCCACATTTTTCTTCCTTCTGGGTAAGGTATTTCCAAGGTGATAAAAGAGCAGAAGACAGACAGAAGGGGAAAAACTTGCAAGTGGATAAAAAACACTGAATATAAACAGCAGACTGAGAAAATGAAGGGAAAAAAAAGGACACTGGTGTCTTAGAAAATCCTGGATTTTAAATCTCAATATAGCCATTTTTTTCCTTTTTCTGCTATTTGCTTTCATGTTGTTCTGGTCTCCAACACTGTACCAGGATTACATTACTGATTCCAATCAGAGTGCACTAGCTACATAAACTTGAAGGCAAAGTAACCTTAAAGTTTATTTGCAAGCAATTTTGGAAGTCTCATCTGCCTGAAGCCAAAGGTAGGATAAATTCAGCTCAAGGGCACTTTCTGTCAGTTAAAAAAAAATAAAATTAATAAATCTATAACTGCATAAAGCAATCATTATGACTCTCCAAGTTTTGTTCAAGTAATTCTGATGGATCAATTTTCTACCATGGAAGTTCACTCTGGACCAGTTATCACTACTCTGACCTAACTGATCCTGTCCCCTCAGGATCAGTTATCACTATTCTTGGTTTATGCCATTTCAATACAGCTATTCTGCTGCAACCAGAATGTTAGGTGGTGGTGGAGGGACTGACTGGCCTGATCACCCGACCCAAACCAAGCTACCTCTGTCTCAGTATGTTCACTGTCAGCCACCTAAGTAAGTGGTAGGTTAGCTAACAAAGGGCAAAGGAGGACCAAGGATTTATTACAATGCTCCATCTATTTAATTTGCTGTCAGTTGATTTTCTAGCTGACTACAATCAACTAATTCAGGGCCACTTAAAAAAAAAAGTCTAAACAATTCAGAACTTTCATCTAATCCCAAATAAGCTCATCCTGACTCTTCAGAATCAGAAGACAGACTAGCACTGCTACACAAAACCAGCATTTCCCAGAACCTTGCAATTTTTCCATTTAGAACTGAAGGGAAAAGAACAGCAGGAGTACCTGCTAAGGGTTTGTCAGCTGTCATGAATTGCAAGTTACAGCAAAGAAAAAGGAATTACAAAGCTAGACCATCATGGTCTAACAGGAGACTACAGCATTTTCAAATTCTCTAGATTCTGAAACCTGTTCCAACTACCACAGATTCCAGCTCCAGGAAAGTTATCTGAAATTTAAATCAAGATTCCTGGCACTATGAACTGCTCCTTCTCGGGGTCGTGAGAACCAGTTTAAAGCCTGGAACAGAGCTCAAACACAGCCTGTTCAGATCTATCTTAAACCAGAAAGAGCAAAGCCAGAGATCTGCACTTCTGTAGCAGATGTTAATGCAGCTTCAGTGCTCCCCAATTCTACACTGAGAGACCTCCCTGCTCAGGAACCTCTGCACCAACCTGCTCTGTACATCAGAAGAGCCTTCTGTGGACGTCACTCTTGAGCATCAGTGTCCTTCAGCCTGCCCAGAAGTGAACACTCAGCTCCTTGCAAAGCACAAAGACAAGTGACAGCCACCTTGGAGTTTGGCATATTTTGGGACAATCTGCCCTCCCATTTGACTGTTGTAACCCAGTTTACTAAACGAGGACATCCATGTGGGAAATATGTGTAATTCTGGCCTTCAAGTAATAGTCATGGTAGGACAGGAGTCACCACAGAGTGATGGCACGGACAAGAAACACCACACACAAATGTGACAGGACAGAACGTACCTGAGGAGAAGGAAGGCACAGTGAAAACAAGTGGAGCTGATTTAATCAGCTGAGCACTCACAGAATCAGATTTTCACACTTTCAGCACTCTGGGGCACTCCAAAAAGCAAGGTCCACACCTGATTAACTCGCACTCAAAACACACAGAGAAAATGCAGCCTCAGTGCACTTTCAGCTGAGAAGTGATGTGGACAAATACTCCACCACTGATACTTAAACTGACACATAAATAAAAAAAAAGAATAAACTTAATTTAATAAATTTAAATGCCACTCTTTAAGAGACCTCTGTCGCTGTTTTTAACTTGCAGAGGCAGCGGTTGTGTATTTGTATTCACAGCTCTTTTCCAGCACAAAGCATTCAGTCACTTCCTACACATCCCACCAAGTGAAAGGCTACAAGGAAGACCACAGGCCTTTGCTGTTTGACCACAGCACTGACTGTGGGAACCACTGGTGTAAAACTGCCAGGCATTCCAAGAGACAAGAGTGTGCCTGAATCAGCAAGCAGCTTCTGGGAACTCCAGGAATCTGGATATCTGCATTTCACCTACACAACACCTCAAAAGCTTGGATACTGCAACTAATTTCTTGATTACCAAGAAATACTGGGTATTTCTTGGTAATATATATATATATATATATATGGTATACTATCACATATGTGATGCTAGATTTCAAATATGTTGATCTGACCCTTATAAAAATAATCAACAAAACAATGGCTAGAAGTTAAAAATATAAGTGAAATATAGAAATGCAACTGAAATTTAGTTTTCTCACTGATTTAAACATTCTGTTCAAAATCTGATCTACCCTGATTTCATTGTGGATGTTTTTAAAGAAAAGTACATTTGTTTGTTTGTTCTGTAAAATGGGGCAAACGTTTAACAGAAGGCAGAGGAACCACTTGCTGCTACAAATGTTTGCCAAGAAAAGAAAATCCAGACAAAACTCTTTTTTGCCTAAGAGATTAAAAATGTAAAAATCTGAAGGAAACAAAAGCCATTTGCAGTATTTTTCCTTTGAGATCAGCAGTGTTCACACTCTGAGTTTTCCTTTAGGAACTTACCTGCAGGAAGACCCTGGAGGGCCCTCTTAAGGAATAAGCAGACCAGGGTAACTACAGAAGGGCAAAAGCTCACTGATCCTGAGTTATCTTTACACAGTTTAGATTTACTCTGACATGTTCCTTCCAGTACATTGAGACCCAGAATGCTGAGGACACGGGAACGTGAGGACACTGCAAGTTTTCACACCAAAACATTAAAGTCTTTTAACATGTAAGTGCAGAACAGCAAAACTCTTAATCCCTGTAGCTCTCAGGGCACTTCCATGTACTGCTTCATACCAGGACAGTAATTAGACAAAACATCTCGGCCTTGTGACCTAGGGACATCAACTCCAACACCTACTGCAACATAAATCCCACAAAACCTTTTTTTTTTTTTTTGGAAGGGGGAACAGCAGGAAGCACCTGTCTCACTCACCCATTCTAGAAGCTCCTCCCGTGAACTAGAAAAGACAAGCTTTATCTAGGCCTTATAAGCTGCTGCTACTAGACTCATTCCAGTCAAAATCTGAACTTATCTTTAAATCTTACAACTTGAGTATATAACCTCTGTGTTCAGAGAATAACTGATCTCCCAAGTCAGAAGGCAGCTTTGTGGGCCTGTGTGCTAAAACTCTGGAAATACTGCAAGGCCCAGAACAAAATGCATTTCAAAACCAAACCAGAAGCCCAACAGAGTAGGGACTTTGACTTTATCCAGCTCACCGGATAAAGCACATTTAGGTTTTTTCCCGTAGTGTTAACACATTAACACACATCTCCATTGTTTTGTTGGGAAAAATTAGGAACCCAGGTATTAACTTTGACTTAGAAACCCACCAGTTCATACACTTTCTAAAAGGTGGCTAATCAAGAAAAAGTCCATTTTGAACTTAAATTCATTCAGGGTCTGTACCTCCACAGGAAAATTGCTGGGAATACATGAATCAAGAGGTAAGAAACAGCTTCCAAATTAGGAAATCGTGCACACTTTTAACAGGTAATCATACGTTGCATAGAATCCCTGTCTGACTCATGCCCTCTCCCCTCTAACTAATTTCCCATGCGATGTTAAGTCTGGATAAGAGACAGTTTTTTCCTTCAAAGTCAGCAGGACTTTGCCAACAGCAGCAAGCATGAAAAGTGGCACTTTCAAGCCCACATGAGTTGGGAGGTTCTGCAGAAGAGAGCTCTCAGCAGCACGAGCCATCTGCAAACTGGCCATCGCTGCTCAGTGTCTGCACCGCGCTGCCTCCTCGCCCTCTGAAGGGAGTACACACCACAGAGCACGAGAGAGGAAAATTCCTCCCCACTACAACCTCAAAAGACATTAGGCAGCTTTATGGGGTGATTACATATCTAGTAGACAATGCTGTCTCTTCACTGAACAGCTAGTCGTTGCCCACTCCTGATCCTTGCCAACCCTGCACTGCACTACAACCTGTGTATGCTGACGCACAAGACCACAACCATCTTTTCCTTATAATTTAGGATGAAAAGGGCATAAAACTCCATCCCAGCCTGTAGCAAAATGCTGATCTTCCAATTGCACTAAGCCTTCTGCAGAAGAGTCCACCAGTCCCAGCTTCCTGTCCACCCCTGGTTTGGAGCACACACTCTCACCCCCCAGCACTTTAACAGGCAGCACCTAACGCACGCATCCCACCCTGCCTTTATGTTTTCCATACCATGTTCCCCACGCTCTGGGAGGATCCTGCTCGGGGAAGCAGCAGGGAGCAGTTTACCTGGTGTGATCTGGCGGGCACGCTGTTTACCAGGCCCTCTGTGTCGGAGGGCGCCTTCTGCGGAGCCTGCTTAACCGGAGACATCAAGCTCTCAGAGGTACTGCAGCTGACGAGGTGGCAGAGCAGAGTTTGCACGACAATGTTCAAGAGGCAACACAAAAAACCCAAAAAAAAAAACAGAACAAAAAACAAAAAGACGAGTGATGGCAAGATGAGAGTGGCAGATCACGCCAAAGTAAAAGTGAACACAATGGATTCTAAAATAAACACACACGATTCTCCATCTCTCCCGAGGTATTTCTCTAACCTTCCTCCGAGTTTTATTAGTAAGCAACATGAAGGAGCAACTATTAACATAGGACAGCAGCTCCTCCAAAATCCCTGTTCCCTAGATACTCCCATTCAACCCAACCCATGTGTTTTCTTCTCTGGGGCTTCAGACTCAACTAACAGTGGTAAATGGCAATTATCTTCTAACTAGAAGTTAAACAGTCCTAGTTACTGAGTCAACTGTTATACCAGTGTTAGAGCCAACACTTGCAAGAGCCACCAGCTTTTCATATCAGCAAGGTACTTCCTACCAAACTCCACATTAGTTCCCTTGCTTTGCTTAGGCTGTGATCCCAAATTAATGCCGCCCACTCACAGCAGATATTCGTCTCTGGAGCAATCACCTCAAGAGTCCCACATGACATTTTAAGCTATGTGCCCTCATGGCTACCTGAATAATCAAGCAAATCTTGTTTTTCAAACAGAAGAACTGCCTTGTGGTGAGAACCAACAGCCCTAAAAGAAGGCTGCCAGTTTTCACTCTCTGATTGCTTCTTTCCATCTGCTTAAAGCAGGACTGAAAAGAAAGCAACCCTATGACAGAGAAAGGAATATCGCAGATCTAAGCACAGGAGCAAATGCCCTGAAAGTCAGCAGCTTCTGGGCAATGCAGTAATGGGTCTCTCAGTGCTAGATCTACCTCCTTGTACCAAAGCACCCAGGAAAGCAAACCAGCCATCTCCTTGGTAGCAGACATGGGAGCTCCCTTTGCTACCACAACCCTCTGACCACTGGGCCTCCTTTTTCCTCAATCTTCATAGTCAGATAATCTATAAAGTAAGTACAGAAGCAAACAAACGACGACAGTGACATTAAGCAGACCACATCCTCACAGGGCAAGCATTTTTTACCCTTTGATAAGTCTAACCATAGCAGACTTAGCTCCTCATACATGCAGCAGTTAAGAATTTAAAAAAAAAATACTGCCCCAGCCATCATGGAAGGGGTTTCTACTGTATTAGAGACAATGCAGCCCTTCTGTTACTAAAATTATGTATCACTCATTGTTTTAGCCACAAAATTCCTCAGATCTACACTATCTAAATGTTATCACTCAGGTTTAAGCAACTAATGTACTTAGATCCCTCCAAGTTTTCAAACACCCAAGCTGTCTGAGACAGAGGAACACTGCCAGGGAATTTACTTTTATTTTGAAACAGAAAGGGTTCTGAATTTTCTGTGCTTTAGTCAATGCACTGGCGAGTTCACTGTTGGAAGAGATGGAGGGACACCATCTGGGCTAAACAGCAAACTCCACCCCAGTTAGACATGAGACAATGAAACCCAAGCACCCAGTGAAATGCATCATCCCTTTGCCAACAGATTCCAGCACAAATTACAGTGAAGTTATGTTAGTGGAGAGCTAGCTGGTTAGTCAGCAAAGGAAGAGGAAACGTGTACACACACACAGGTATTAACAGCAACCACCAACTTGATTAGTTACCATGGTGTCTAGTGGGACTGGAAGAGAAGACCCAGCCCTGTTACATTCCCAATCTGGCGTCTATATCAGGATCTCTGTAAGGAGAGGAAGGTAAGCAGGATCCGATCCCAGCACACCAAGGCAGAAAGAAAAAAAAACAAAACAAAACAAAAGAAACACCAAAGTCAGAGCATGAATGGAGACTGTGGCCATGCAGGGGTTCCAGATGCCGCGCAGGGCCCCAGCACACCTCGGTTCAAGGCAGAATGGTTATCTGGGAGTAAGTGCATCTCTCCACCACCACCACCACCACACACCGAGTTAGCATCGTAGAGAAGACAGTCCATAAGTTTGGAAGGGGTCACAGCACAGCTGGTTTCTCTCTACACATCATGCAGAGCTGGCATGGTCAGTGAAAGCAGTATTTAAACTTCAGAGGTTACTTTCCCAAGAGAGCAGTTAAATCTACTACAAGAAATCACAGTGCATGAACTACTGCTCCAGGCTCGGCACCAGCGTGTGTCCTCCAGCAGGAAGACACTGGAGGGCAGGTCAGTGGGAAACAAGGCAAGCAGGCCACCTCAGGCACACTGCTGGTGCATGACACTGCAGGCTTCTTCTCAATTCTTAGGGGAAGGACACATGCAGAGAGGGAAAACCAGGCTTTCCACACAATTTTGAGCACACACAGCCGCCTTTGATGTATTTAGCCTTACCATTGGGCAATAGCCAACTCCCTTTCTCTAAGCTCTCCAACTGGGAAAAGGACAGGGCAAAGTTTAATTTGGAAATCCCCACAAGTTTATTTTTGGAGTTATTTTCTTTTATCCCAAGGGCAACCCAAAGGACCTGCAGCAAGCAGGAATATTTGTTGGGGAAAGAACAGAAGAAAGTTATAAGTTTGGGGTTTGTTTCTAAGACTCCATACATAATTTTCATTCTTTCTTATAGAAGCAAATTACCATCTAATTAGAGAGGAGAAAAAAGGAAGCACCTCCTCCACCAGTATCAAGCTTCATCACCACAGGACTCAAATCTGCCTTTGTTAGTTCTTGTTGTTTTTTCATATGCCCACGCAAAGAACTGTGCTTCACTTTGGGGTTACCCTCCTAACACTAAAAACCCTGCAGGGATGGGAACAGTTAACAAAAACCAGACAGTGAATGAGAACGGATGCAGAGTGGCTACTCCTTCCTTACTTTGAAGTCTGGTGATGAATGGGGTTTTGGCAAGTATACTCCAGGCTTAGGAGTCAGACTGAAAAATCCAGTCCTAGTCTCAACACAGAGCATTCCTTGAAAGTGTACATATGGCACTTTTCCTTTGCAGGTGGTAGGGAAAGTAGAGCTAGAGGGAAGGGGAACAGACCAGAGCTAGGGGATCCTGGATTAAATGTTCTTAGGGCATATATGCCTGTGGCTGGGGATCAACTTCAATATCTAGTGATTTTCAGGTGCAACTCCTGGTCAGTATGCCTTTTCAAGCACAGTACAAAGATAATTCATTAAAGGCAGATGATCAGTGCTCCACATGGCCATACCCTATCTGTAGCCATGGCTGCCAAGACTTGGCCGAAACAACTCCTACCCCCCTTCAAGCCCTCCCTCTGCTCCTGCTGCTGTTCCTCACATCACCCAAAGGTGAGGAGGGAGATCTCTTACCCAGAGTATCGTTTTTTAGAGTTGTTCTTTCTGATGACAAGACACACGACAATAGAGATGAGCGATGAGAGACCTGTAACCGTACCGATGGCTATCCCTGCCACCGTGGCAATGGGGAACGCAGGCAGGCTGTCTGGGGAGAGAAGGGAGAAAACATTCAACTCTTCTGCATTCCCTCATCAACAGAAGTGCAAACCACAAACGCTCTCGAGCTTGGATTCGTTTAGAGCGGGAGGCACTAATGTAACATCCAGAAACCACAACCTGCAGCCTGAGAGGTGGTGACAGCAGGCAGCCAGCAGAACAGCGTGTGGACAGAGCACGCACCGGGGGCATTCTCAGTGCCACTGTCCTTCAGAACTGCCTTTGTGTCGAACCAAGAAGTTTTACATGTCAGGGAACACAGCTGACAATGAGGACAACCCTGTCTCGTTTTGTATCTGAAGGGGTGTGGGGGGGAACTTACATCCATCTGCAAATTCCCACCAAGGTTAACAGGAAAAGGCAAGCACGCTTGAAAGCAGATTTGAACACAGCACGTTGCTAACCCACTGAAGGCTGGGTGTTCCCCAGGTAGCATGCAGCAGACAGCACAGTTCCTACCCATGATCACTCTTACTAGTGTTTTTACATGATTCTGGTGTCTCTAAATACAGCTCTTTACATTTTTATGGATGCATTTTTTTCCTTCTTGCGTCAGGATCACTGCACAATACCAGAAATATACGTAGAGGAATGCAGTATTGCTTTACTCACATTTTCCCTAATATTATTTTGAGGGAATGTAGGCCAAGAAAGAGCAGTCAGAAACAAAAGCCAATGAGAAGAGAATGAGTAGAAAAGACCTACAAGATAAAGAATACACACTACCATTATAGCTTCTCCCAGTAAGAAACAAAGTCCTCTCCTTCCCCCTGCACTGTGTTTAATGCAAGGAACATCTTAGGCCAGAGGGTTTCTTACAAGACTCCAAGCTGTACCAGCTACTTGTACCAAATACAAGTGAATCAGCAGAAGAGCCAACAGGTCTTCTTATACAGAAAAATCTGTCTCAGACTTTTCTCTCACCTTCATCTGGTTATCACAGAACTGCTGAGGTTGGAAGGGACATCTTGAGATTGTCCAATCCAACCCCCCTGCTCAAGTGGGATCAGGCAGTTCAGTTTGCTCAACACTGCTCAGTTTGGAATTGACTGTCCCCAGGGATGGGAGACTCTTTGGGCAACCTACTCCAGTGTTCAGTCGCAGTGAAAATGTGGAGTTAAGCTCAGACAGAATTTCCTGTGTTTCAATTTACACTTATTGTCTCTTGTCCTGTCACCAAGCACCGCTGAAGAGCCCGGCTCAGTCTTCTTTAGATGCCATCAATGTACATAAACACTGGTGAGAGAATTCCCCTGAGCCTTTCTTCTCTTTTGCAGGCTAGATTACCCCTTCTTCTCTTTTGCAGCCTGGACAGCCCCATTTCTCTCCATTTCTCCTCGTATGAAAGGTGGTTCAGTCCCTTAATCATCTTAGTCATTCTTTGCCAGACTTGTTCCAGCAAGGACCACAGACCAGGTGTATTCAAGCCCTTCCCAGCCAGTCTGTAGTCTGTTGACCAAGCCCATTTTGACACACTTATGCAGAAGGGAGCAGAACCCTGAAGCAGGTGCATCATACTAAGAAAACAGGGCTTTCACTTAGTTCTGTTCTTTTGGGGTTCAGTGACTTTCAGAAGAGCTGCCTCAGTAAGAAATTACAGATGAAGACATGAGTGCCTGTCATGGTTTGAATCTTGTTTTCCCCCAGAGGCTGAGAAAAGTGGTAGACCCCAAGGGGTGGAAACCCCTGTAAGTTTTGGAGTTCTGTCCAATGGGCGCTCCTGCAAAAATGTCAACATCCCACAAGCTCACCAGAAGAGATGAGTTGTAGTTTTGTTGTTGTTGGAGAGGTGGCCATGCTGTGAGCCACGAGGAAGGGGCCCGGAGCCCCTTCCAGGGGGCTTTGGCCTCCCAGCCCCCAGCGGGGGCCTGCGGGGACCTGGAACAGCATAAAGCTGGGCTAGGTGCCTGTAGTTATGCCGGGAGATGTTTTCTCCATGGGCACAGAGCAG